CTGAGACAACTTTGTTGTGATTTGGTGCTTTATAAATAAACTGAATTGAATTGAATTGAATTGAATTGAATTGAATCCACCAGCAGTCACATGCTGAAGTGTCCCTGGGCAAGACACTGAACCCCTCATAGCCTCTGATGTGTGTCCCATCAGTGTTTGAATGTGATAAAGCTCTGATTAGTCTCTTTAGAATGATTTGTTCAATTATCTTTGTAGAGATCTAGTAGAGTGATGTATGAATGGGTCAGTGAGGCACAGACTGTAGTGTAAAACACTTTGAGTATTTTGATAAGATAGAAAGGCGCTACAGAAGTACAGTCCATATAATTTGACTGAAATTACTTCATTTAGTAAAGTATTCAGTCTCAAAGTATAAAAATAAAAATGATCCTTCTGTTATTTAGATTGAATAAGTCGGCACACAATATAGATCAACAAAATCCACACACACACACAAAAAAACTAAAGTGCAGGTGCAGTCCCCCCTCCCACCAAAAAAATAAATAAATAAATAAAATGAAAGCTTAAGATCTGTTAAGCATAAATGTAACTTACAAGAAAAAATATGTTGCCTATGAAACATATTGAAATATGTTGTATGAAGTATAACTTCCAAAACTTGTGACAAGGTGTCTTCAGCTGACCCTGAAGCTTGTGCTGGTGTTTCAGCTTCCTCTATTCCTCGCAGGAATGATTCCATTTCTCTGACTGCTCTGTCTTTGATCACCTGCCTCTTTTCTTGGTCCATGTACTGACTGTGGAACTTAAGAGACACAGCTGAGCTGCGCATGTTTGTACCAGCAGTTTGGAGCGTGTGGGGGGATGCAGCCAAGCTGCGCTTGTACCGGCAGCCCAGAGTAGGGGGGTGGGGAGACACAGCTGAGGAGCGCGTTGATTGTTTTTAGATTTTTAGCTTGCTAGTATTGCGCATAGCTAATTACCGTTATGCCAATACCGACAGGTGGGGGGCGGTGTACAGTTCGGTTCGGTATTTTGGCGCGCTCGGTTCTGTTAACGGGATGTGGTACCCTGCTTGTATAATGGTAGGGGAAACACTAACATATTTACGCCATGAAATTAGCATATCATGATATAATTTATTTTCCCAGGCAAACTTTTTTACCAGTATTATCATGAACGATATGATATGGCCCAGCCCTACCTGGTAGGGTCTCCCAAGGCAGACAGAAGACTTGTATGGACTAGGGGTTGAACGAGTATATAATTTTTAAACTCGACATTAACATAATAAAACCCGAGTAGAACTAAGAGTATTTGATGATGTCATAGATCTCAAGATACAAAAATAAATAAATAAAACCGCAAAAAAAGGTAATCATTTACAAAAAAAGACCAACAAAACATTGGGAGCGTATATTATGCTCCTACCATTTATCATAATGTAAATAAGTCACAGGAAAAACTAAACTATTAGTTATTATTATTAAACTGCAAACGTGAAGAAACGTGCAGCACGTCAAAAACGAAACTTAAACCGAAACTGGTTCTGGTTCGGTGGATTGGACCCAGTGTTACACCATACTCTGTGACCTGCAACAGTGCAACACCGCCCCCTACGGTCATACAGTAGTCACATAATATGACGTCACTACGGATACCCGAGCTTACATTTTTAACCTCGATAGATGTTCTAGCAATCGATGTGTAGATTACTTGAGCACTCTGTTAATGCCCTAGTATGGACAAAAGAAAATAAGGAACTCTGTGTCCCTTGCCCATACGTAGGTTACCGGGGCCCCACCCTGGAGCCAGGCATGTGGGAGGGGCTCATCGGCGAGCGCAAGGTGACCGAGTCCCATGGGACCCGGTCGGTAGAGTTGCATTCGAGCCCAAAAAAATCTGATCCGACCCAGCCCCAGCCCGCAGTCATAATTTCCAAACCCCACCCGATCCAAAAATTAACAGTAATTACAGGACCGAACCCGGAAAAACCCCCAACTTTTTTAAATTACTTATTAATGGTCGGGGATGCGCAACTGAATAAAAGTGGCAGAAGATTTGGAGCTGAGAGGGTGTTTGTACTTTCATCAGAGTCAGAGATTCTTTATTGTCACTCGCACTTCATGTGGTACATGTGGTGGAGTGAAATTATGTACACAGGGTCCCAGTTACATCCAACAATAAAATTAAAAAAAAAACAGTAATAACATCTAAGATATGAACTAAGAAAAACATCAACTAAATATACACTAAGCACTCATAACATAAAACATTGAACATCAGCACAAACATGAACATGAGTCTGTGAGCAGATGAGCACGCATGAACACATCAACATTAGGTATGTTTACATGGACATAAGTAACCAGATCAAATGGCCGGTCGGAATAAAAGTGTGTCATGTAAACACTCCGTTCGGGTTATTTTTTGTGTATTCGGCGCGATCCGATATAATTTGTGATCAGAACGAAACGGGTGGTTTACGCCGATCCGTAACCCGATCGGTGCGCATGTAAACACTTGATCTGTTCATTTTTATCTGATCGTGAAAAACTGACCTGACTGCGCATGTGCGACTTTGCCATTTCCGCCTGGCTAACGCTAATAATATTAGCATGTCAGGGAAGTAAAACTGGTCGGTGAGCGACAACATTTCTACTAGAAACTTTGAAAGAGCTCAAAATGATCTGTATCACCTGTAGCTCAGTCAGGGAGTGCAGTAACGTCTCCACCATCATTAAAACCTGTCGCGGGTCCATTTTGGGTGCTCAGGTTTGTTTACGTTCACCCCGGAAGTAGAACTTCTTCTTCTTCGGTGGATTTTTTAAGGGGGGTTTACCACTCTGCGCATGTCAGTACTGTTGTTCAGAACAAAGCCCGCTGCATGTGAACGCTCGTCATGAACAGATTGTGCCCATGTAAACAACACATTTGAATTATTCAAACAGAACACATTTCAATCCGGTCAAAGAATTTTGTGCATGTAAACATAGCAACTGAAACAGATCATCAGCAACATTGAAACAGATCAGCAGCAACATGAAACAGATCAGCAGCAACATTGAAACAAATCAGCAGCAACATGATGTGATTTTTCACAGTGATTATTTTGGTTAGAGATTCATGAGTCTAACAGC